AGCACCAAGGAACGTCTTATAAAGGATTATTTAATTTGTTCAATATTTAGTAAATACCTACAGGGTATAGAGCACTGTATATAGAGTATTACTACAGTGAATACTTCTGGCCTCTAGGAATTAACATTCTCTTGTGTTTGAAGGAGAACACATATACACACATGAAATAAGTAAGTAGCAGTATAGGGATTAAATGTGTGAGTGGTATAATTAAGTTCAGAGAAGGTCAAGGTCAGTATGAGTAAGAATTAGAGTAATGGAATAGATAGATCCTGAAATGGGCTCTGAAGATTGTTAGGATTTGAATGGCGTTAGGGGAGTTGGAAGGGAAAGGACCTGGGAGTGCTAGGGAGCATGGTTAAATTGTGAAGAGTGGTGAGTTTCTTGTCTGGATAGGAAAGGAGCAGACCGTTCTCTCCTTTTTCATCAAGTCGAGGATTGTGGGAGAAGGTGAAGCCTTTACAGCTGAAGGCATGTGGGAGTGTTGTGACTTGAGAACCTTGGTTCAGTAAAGACAAAGCTGTTAAACAATAGGATCGGACTGACAGTGGCATGGAAGTGGGCATGAATGGCTGGTGGTGAATAGCTGGAGCTAGGATGAGTAGCAGTGGAGATGGATCAGGGTGTATTTTGTAGGTAAACTCAATGGTGCTTGCTAATGGCTTTGATTTGGGAACATAGCGGTTAAAGTGAAAGGAGGAATGAAGACCAGCTGTAAGGTTTTGATTTGAACAATTCAGTGGATGTTGGTGCCATTTATTGATATAAAGAGGACTATTATGAACACATTTAGGAGGCAGCTCAATAGTACTGGACTGGATACTTTAATCTGAGATGGCTGTGAGGTAGCTAAATGGAGATGTGCCCTGGCCAGTCAGATCTGTGGTTCTGGATTTGAGTGGAGACAGTACGGATGCAGAAATGTAACTGTTAAGAAATGAACAAAACTCGGGACGCCTGGGTGGCTTAGTCGGTTAAGCGTCCGACTTTCGCTTAGGTCATGATCTCGCGGTTCGTGGGTTCGAGCCCCGTGTCGGGCTCTGTGCTGACTGCCAGCTCAGAGCCTGGAGGCTGTTTCATTCTGTGACTCCCTCTCTCTCTGACCCTCCCCTGCTCACGCTGTCTCTCTCTCTCTCCTAGAAATAAATAAAAAAAAAAAAAAAAAGAAATGAACAAAACTCACATCAATGTTAATGAGGTCTTTATGTGGTTAACTTAATATTTGTTAGTAAGAGCTCTAAAAATTTAAATGTTTCATTTCATTATTTTTAAATCTTTAATTCACCCTGCTAATTCTAATTATTTAGTTGAATATTGGTCCGGTTGATTTTTAAAAAAAATAACCATCGATACTTGGTATCTTGGTTATAATTACTTAAACCAAGAATGGCTGAGGACAGCAGATGGTTATTAGACAAGTAAATAGTCTTTAGAGTTTGCTTATTTTTATTTATAAGCAGATTTCACATATATTCATAGTCTTATGTTTACTGTTTTAGCAATCTGTGACTGGCGTCTGAGTCTCCTGAAATCACCCATAGTGGTAGTAATTCGTATTAATCAGCACTTCTGAATATATAATCACTACAAATGATCAAAATTTGGGGGCCATAGAGTGACACAAGGATCTTAAAAAATTGCTTTTGTACATCGCCACTACTTTTGCCAGGTAGCTGGAAATGAAAACTGGCCATTGTAAGTCCGGAATCCCAATTCTGTTTTTAAGACATTCCAGCTTGTTCCCGGTTTCCTGTCTGTTGAGAGAATTGGGGTGCTTTGGGTAATGTAGTTCAGACTTTTATCCATTTCCAACCATGTTTTCATTACTCTCCCCTCCTCATCCCAGGATTACCTGTTTCTGGCTGCCTTTCTAAAATGCTTCAACCTGATGCTCTGAAGTGGGCCAGCTGTAGTCAGTAGATCCGCCATGTGCTACAACTAACCCTTTTCCAGAACAGGCTAGCTTTACTTTTAGCTTTCTTCCCTTTTTTTTAATTAAAAAATTTTAAATTAAATTAAATTAAATTAAATTTTAATTCTGGTATAGTAAGTATACTTTCAGTTCTCTGTCAACAACCCATTTGATTTTGACCAATGACTTCCAATATTGTTTTGAAACATTTAATATGTCATTAGAAGATATATCTACTCACCATTTGGTTTTGTTCACAAAAAAGTAATTTTTCCTGAAAATAGACTTATGCCTGAGACTTTGAGATCTGTTGAATACGTTTCTTCTAGAACCCGATTAGGTTAATTTTTATTTCTACTACCTAGCTATGATCAGTATGCCTCTTTTATCTTGGATTTTCTATAATTTTCCTGTTTTCCCGTCTAATTGAACTGGTGGAATTGACTTTGGAGAAAATATGGAATTAACCTTTGTAAATTCTACTTCCTCCTAGTTGCATCTCCGTTCCCTGCAACTTTACTCGTGGCAGTCTTTATTAATATTTCTGATTCTCCCATCCATTAACTAAAGCAGAGCAACTTCCAGGATTTTACGGCTTCTCATGGCTTTCAAGATAGTGTAAATTTCTTCGCTTAATCATCTTTTATCTACCTACCTGTCAGTTTCCCATCATTGTCCTCTTTTCTTCAGGCATTCTGAATTATTTGTACTTCCTTAGAATACGTTATCCTGTTTTCGGCTCTTACTCTTCCACATGCTGGTCTTTCTGCTTTCTTTAGCTACAATACATGTCAGACTTCTCTTTTCTTGAAGGTTGCCTTCCTTGAAGGGGTGTCTCACATTTGCTTCCAAGCAGTCCACTTGGCTAGTGCTTCTCAGACTTTCTTGGTTCTTTCAGCTGCTCCCAATGGGACACCATTTCCTTTACATATGTCTTTGCACGGAGCTCTGGGACACAGTCCCAGTGATGAAATACTGCTGCCACAGCTTGGCCATTGGTGGGGATGTGGTTAGGGGCAAGCCACAATTCCTTTATTTCCCCATTCCTTTATTTTTCACAGGAGTACCACAAATATGGCTGGTTCAGACTTTAGAGAAGAGTCGGTTAAATAAAGGCAATTATAGTATGGAAATATTTTATTAAACATTTTTAAGGTTATTTATCTTATTTATTTTGAAAGAGAGAGAGAGCATGAGAGGGGCAGAGAGAGAGGAAGAGAGAGAGAGAATTCCAAGCAGGTTCCTCACTGCCAGCCCGATGTAGGGCTCAGTCTCCTGAACCATGAGATCATGACTGGAGCTGAAGTCGAGTCAGACGTTTAACCGACGGAACCACCCTTAAAGAAGCTCTTATTTAAAACCATGTCTAAAATGCAGTGTTTCCCTTGCCCAGAGGAAGGCATCCAAGAAGTTGAATCCTTCAGACAGTGGCTTCGTATGCATTTCTTTAACTCATTTGTGCTCTGGACTGTACCTCTGACGGCCTTCTTCTACTCACTCTGCACCTACTGGGAATCTCCTCCCCTAACCTTGGGTTTGGAATTAGTACAAGGGTTACTTTCCTTAGCAGTATATTTCTACAAGTGTGAATTCTCTTGGCTACCGCCTATCAACTTTGTCCATGGTAGGCTTTGACACCAGATCTTGTGAAGTCATCAAGGGTTTATAGGATTTTCTCCAACTCAGACCATTAAATTCTTTTAGGGTAGCTATGAAGCCACACCTTATCTCTATTTTTTTTTTTATACTTTCTATTACATGCCTCACCACCACTTGTCCTTTGTCCTTATCCCTTCAAAGGCCTTTCAACATCATTTTGTGCAAACTCCCTTTTGGGCACCTCTGGCAGTGCGGCATAGTTTGATTGTAGCATTACACCACAATAATTGATGTGCTTGTCTGTTTTCCTAGCACATGGAATTTAGTGACTAATCAATTAATGTTCTTTGAATGATAAATGGATCAGTAAAGGAAATTGGGATCTGTTATCTTCTGACATTTACCTCAGCAGTTCCTTAATGATCAGGAATGAGATTTCATAGAAAACTATTTTATTTTCTAGCAATTAAAACATGTTGTCTGTAGTTAAAATTTCCATGTGTTCCAAATTGTTTTGGATTGCAAACTCCTTGATGAGGGAAAAAAGATCAGAGAGATGCTGAGGCCCAGCTTACAGTTAGTTATTTCCTCCCACCACTGGAGCTGTCCTTTGTTCAATGTAGTGTCTCAGGAAGTTAGTAAGAAAGAGCTGATATGACAGTTTAACCTGAGAATCCGTCCCTCCTCACCTAGTAAATGGCAGACAGTTAAGTGCTATTTACTATATTGTTGATTTAACCCTTTGCTTATTCTGCAAAAAGTAAAGTCTTTTTACATATAGGAAAACCTCTACTGGTGATGTAATTTGTTTAAAAGCAGGAAATAGAAGTGAGGAATGGAAGAGGAGAAATTTTTCTTCCTTAATATGTGTAATTATGCATAGGTATATGGGAAATTCATGAAGTGCTTTTTTTTTTAAATAGTTTATTGTCAAGTTGGTTTCCATATAACCCACAGTGCTCATTCCCACAAGTGCCCTCCTCCCTGCCCATCACCCCCTTCCCCGACCCCCACTCCCATCCCATTTCATCCCTGTTCACACTCTGTCTTTCTCTCAAACATAAATAAATGTTAAAAAAAATTTTTTTTTAATCAACATGCACATTTAGATCTAAGCTGTTGCTCTGTCATACATATTTTTGGATATGTAGAACACAGGTTTTTGAAGAATTAGTTGTCAGCAAAAGTTTGTTTTCTTTCTATAAAGAGGAAGTAATAAAATGCCTAGTTGTTTGTTTCTTTTTAAGGTTTTTTATTTATTTCTGAGAGAGACAGCTTGAGCAGGGGAAGGTCAGAGAGAGAGGGAGACACAGAATCTGAAACAGGCTCCAGGCTGTGAGCTAGCTGTCAGCACAGAGCCTGATGCGGGGCTCGAACCCACAAACCGTGAGGTCATAACCGGAGCTGAAGTCGGATGCTCAACTGACTGAGCCGCCCAGGTGCCCCAATACCTAGTTGTTTAAAATATTTTATTTGACTTCTATTTTAGAAATTTCAAGAAATTGCTGAAAAAAATATGGAAAAGTTGAACCGTATTGAGAAGTCACATGAACAGTTGGTTCTGGAAAATTCACGCTTCAAAAGTGCCTTATCACAGACTCAGAGGGAACAAACATCATTGCTGGCAGCCTGTGCGCTGATGGCTGGTGCCTTATATCCTCTCTACAGCCGGTCATGTGCCTTATCTACGCAGAGAGATTTTCTTCAGGAGCAAGTCAACACCTTTGAGTTGTTTAAACTGGAAGTTAGAACTCTGGCCCAGGCTTTGTCAACTGTAGAGGAAAAGAAGCAAGAGGAAGCGAAGCTGAAGAAAAAGCCATTCAGAGGACTGATACGTGTTTTCCGGAAAGGTGTGATTGTAATTCTGGCAGCAAATAGGCTTAAGATTTTGGGCCAATCGTGTGCCTCTCTTTTTACCTGGATGGAAAGCTTCAAAGAAGGCATAGGCATGTTAGTGTGTACGGGAGAGCCCAAAGACAAGCAAAAATTTCCAAGTAAGATAATTTAAGCTTCTTAAAATCTAAGTTGAGTGTAAGGACATATAATGTGACCAGGCTTAGCCATTATGTAAAAACTTAAAAAATCACTTAATATGTCAAATCATGTAACATAGTCTCATGTATATGTAGATATGTGTGTGGGTATCGGTAAATGTATATTTATGTATAAAGTAGGTTTTGATTTTTTTGTTATAAACATTAAAATTTGAAGAAAGTGGCAAATATAATTTCAACTTTGTCTAGTTTTATTATGTGTATATATTTATTTTTTTTAATGTTTTATTTATTTCTAGCAGAGAGAGAGAGAGAGAGACAGCGTGAACAGGGGAGGGTAAGAGAGAGAGGGAGTCACAGACTGAAACAGGCTCCAGGCTCTGAGCTGGCAGTCAGCACAGAGCCCGACGCGGGGCCCGAACCCACGAACCGTGAGATCATGACCTAAGCAAAAGTCGGATGCTTAACCGACTAAGCCACCCAGGCGCCCCTTGTCAGGGATTTTTTAATGTTCTGTGTCAAATGATGTTCTCCAAAATGCTGAAGTGATAAAATATGATTAACTTTATAACCCAGGTGTTAATTCTCATGACATAAAAAGGGCCATGAATGACTCACCAACATTATAAAGAACTTTGCTACNCACAGACTGAAACAGGCTCCAGGCTCTGAGCTGGCAGTCAGCACAGAGCCCGACGCGGGGCTCGAACCCACGAACCGCGAAATCATGACCTAAGTGAAAGTCGGACGCTTAACCGACTAAGCCACCCAGGCGCCCCATGTGTATATATTTAGCTTTATTATATTTGAATGCTCTTTTAACAGTAAAGTGGAGAGTTTATATAGTGATTTTTGAGTTAAGTCAATCCAGAGACTCTGTCTTATTTAAAATTAATAGTATAATTTATTTTTGCTTTCTATAAGTCAGTATAAAATGATCAGAGTTAAAAATCTATTGAGGAATTGAGGGGAAATGAGACAAATGTAAATTTTCCAGTTAACTTTTTTTTAAAAGCTTGAGTATTCTGAGGAAATAGTGATTTCAATTTTTAACCTTTAAAAATCGAGCTATTAAGGGAAGACCTGGGTGGCTTAGTTGGTTAAGTGTCCACCTTCGGCTCAGGCCATGAACTTGTGGTTCGGGAGTTTGGGCCCTGCTTCGGGCTCTGTGCTACTAGCTCAGAACCTGGAGCCTGCTTCGGATTCTGTGGCTCCCTCTCTTTCTGCCCCTCCCTCGCTCATGCTCTGTCTTTGTCTCTCGCTCTAAAAAGTAAAAATTAAAAAATTTTTAAATAAAAAAAAAATCAAGCTATGAAGTGTAAGTAGAACTAAAGAAACATTTTCTTCTCTTTTTTTTGATATCACTTTATATATATATATATATATATATATATATATATATATATATATATATAAGTTGTCAGTCAAATCTAGCATTTCTTGTAGACTGTTCCACACTAGGCAAAGTTCTCCCTACAAGTTTTGGTCTATTTCTTAAATAGCCAAACATTGCTATGAATTTTAGACATGGATTTTCAAAGTTTGTAGCATCGCATAATGGATTTTTCTTCTCTTCTTGCAGGGCAACAGAAGGAGCAGTTACGTTGTTTGCAAGCGCTCAGTTGGCTAACCAGTTCCGACCTTCTGGCTGCAGTCATCACTTCTATGGCCGAGTTACAGGAAGTCATTGGTAAAACAGGTATGATTCCCTCTTTTAGGTCCTTGCAAATATCTAGAAATACTTTATGGTTCAAATTCTAGTAAACCATCTAGGAAGAAAATAAGTACATTTGTTTTCATCTTTCTTCATTCAGGTACAGAGAGATTATTAAATCTCTATTTAAGGATGCAGAGAATTAATGTAAATTTTGGTGGGTAATATTGTCTGAATTTATGGGGAAATTAAATGACATTGCTTGCTGAATGTATCCACCTTATTTTTTCTCCTTTTATGATCTGATTTTCCAAAAGAAATCACATCATTAACTTTTTTTTAAAATTAATACTGGGAATGTTCTTGCAAATGTTTTAGTCTTCCTTCATTTCTGTTCTAGCTACACATTTTAGATGTTTGAAGAATATCTGTAGCAGTAAAAAACTTTTCTTGTTTGGTGATATGTTTTTATTTTTCCTAATTCATTTTCAGTAGAGTTAATTTGAGTAGTCTGTTTCTTCCACCAGGTGTGAAACCGCCTATAATTAGTGATTTCCAAAGGTCTAAAATTCTGTTTATTGGGGCATCTAGGTGTCTCAGTTGGTTAAGCGTTTGACTTTGGCCCAGGTCATGATCTTGCTGTTCCAGAGTTCAAGCCCCGCATAGGGCTCTGTGCTGACAACTTGAGCCTGGAGGCTATTTCAGATTCTGTGTGTCTCTCTCTCTTCTGCTCCCCTGCTTGTATTCTGTTTCTCTCTCTCAAAAATAAGTAAACATTATAAATAAATAAGTAAATAAAATTCGGTTTATTTTTTCATGACTCAACTTGCAGGATATGTTTGTTTGAAAAGTTCAGTGAAACAAATTTCTCAAGAATAACATACACTTACCTACTAGTTAAGCTATGTCCTTGGACTAATTATGGCCATTTCAGACACTTTAATAATAAAGATAATATAATGGATTTGGTAATACTTGCCTGCTAAGTGGAATGTTGTAAGTAAGCATTAATGAAGTAATAATTTGATATGTAGTTTAATTCTTTAGACAACTCTGCTATATACATATAGATCACTTATTGTGATTTCTGTTAACTAAATCTATGTTCTTATAGTGGGAAACTTATGGTGCAAAGACTATTTTTAGGTTGTGGCCCGTTGATGTTGGTAAGCATTATTCATCTCTAATATTTTGGCAAAACCTCAGTGTACTGGGTTTGAAGTCTGAAATAAAAGTCTAAATAAAATGTATTTTAAGAATGCTGGCACTGAGGCGCTTGGGTGGCTCAGTCAGTTAAGCATCCGACTTCGGCTCAGGTATAAGCCTAGCAGATCTGGCTTATACATGCTGATTACTAAAATGTATTTTCTATTATAACTATTTTGGAGCATCGTGGGAGGAAAGGTGGAACATTGGCACGGGATCAGATTATAGAGGCTTTCTAAAATTAGTCAGTGATCTCGTGGAACACATTTTCCAAAAGTGCTTTACAATATTTTAAAGTTAAGATATTGACACAATGATTATTTGAGACGCTGATAAAAATATGTGTAGGTAAGACTTATCATGTAGAAGGTAGACCAAGAGTGGTGTGTCTTTATTTTATTTTATTTTATTTTTTAATGTTTTTTTATTTATTTCTAGGAAAGAGAGAGAGAGAGAGAGACAGCGTGAGCAGGGGAGGGTCAGAGAGCGAGGGAGTGACAGACTCTGAAACAGGCTCCAGGCTCTGAGCTGGCAGTCAGCACAGAGCCCGACGCGGGGCTCGAACCCACGAACCGCGAGATCATGACCTAAGTGAAAGTCGGACGCTTAACCGACTAAGCCACCCAGGCGCCCCGAGTGGTGTGTCTTTAAATGCTTGTCTACCACGAGGAACAGAGTTGCCTTGTTAGAATCTGGTTGTACCTCTAATGGTTTGAGAAAATAGCAAGTTCAGGGAAACTTATTTTTAGGGAAGGCTTTAAATGTTGTTGGCTAAAGAACACTAAGTAAATTAGGGAAGAGTAAGTGATAGTTGCTTAGAGGGGGAGAATAATTGATGTATTAAAGTCCTGAAGAGTATAGGGAAGAATATGATTGGGCAGGTAAATAATTGAGTTGTTATTGGACTAGTACAAAGATGATTAACATGTACCTTTTGCAGAGATGACTTGACAAACTGGGCGTGTAGAGCAATTCATTCAAAACATGATGGCCGGTTAATATATTACCTTTTCCAGGTAATGTATTTTATGGGTATCCTAGTAGTAGAAATTTCCTCATATTTTAGCAGAAAGGATGAGACAATATTTTCAGACATTTCAAGTACATGAGTGGTTATTAACAGATAGTAGGATAATAAATGTAAAGCTATACCAGCTTATGTATTCATGTTGAGATTATAATTTAAGGGTGTGAATAACGTAAATATATGATAAGCATTATCATATAGCAGAAAGAGTATGAGCTTTGTACAAGGCAGATTTGATTTTGTTTCCAGCTCTGCTAGTTATTAGTTGTGTGAAATTGGGCAAGTTACTTTACGTTACTGGGCTCAGACTCTTTACCTAAAAGTGGAAACAATACTACCTCCTTGGCTTTTATGAGGATTTAATGAGATAACACTTGTTGAGCATTTTGTACATGTACCTAGCATATAGTGGGCGCTAAAAAAAACTGTTTCCTTACAACCCATCTCATCATGAAAGTAGTGTATTATGGTCTTGAATGTATTATACTCTTCTGCCTATATGCATTTTTTAAACTACTAATTATTTTCTATTGCTATGTGTTCTTCCAATCTGTTTTATTCCTCGATGCCTCCCCATCTTTCTATCTGCCCACCCTTTATTTCTTCTTCTTACCCTCCCTTCTTCCTTCTTACCACCCACTCATCCATCTCCTAACAGGCTAACAAAGGATATAAATGTTACCATAGGCTACATACTGTTTTGTATTTGCATTTAAAAATTATTTTAAGGAGCACCCAGGTGGTTCAGTCAGTTACATGTCAGACTCTTGATTTCTGCTCAGGTCATGATCTCATGGTTTGTGAGTTTGAGCACCATGTCAGGCTCTGCGCTGACAATGTGGAGCCTGCTTGGGATTCTCTCTCCCTCCCTCTCTCTATCTGCCCCTACCTCCTCTCTCTCTCTCTCTCTCTCTCGCTCTTAAATAAATAAATGAACTTAAAAATGATTTTGAAATAGTTTCAATCTCACATAATAGTTGCAAATACACAGTAGAGACTCTTTTTGCTCAATGATTGAAAGCAAGTAGCTGACGTGATGGCCATTACTTTCTCATATTTCAGTATGTATTTCAGGCAAGATATTCTTCTACATAACCAGAGGGCTGTGATCAACATCAGGAAACCATTCTGTCCCCCTTCAACTTTCCCTAGTTGTCCCAGCCATGTCTTTTTGAGCAAAAGGATCTGGTTTAGAATTATGTGTTGCATTAAGTCATGTTTCTTTAATCTCCCTCAGTGTGGAAAAGTTCCTCAATCTTTCCTTGATCATCATAATCTTGAAGATTACAGGTTGTTCAATTTTGATCTGTTTGACATTTCCTCATAATTAGATTCAGTTTATGCATTTTTGGCAGGATAATCACAGAAATGATGCCGTGTTTCACTTATGGTATGCTATCACAGCGTTAGCTTTTAAAAAAGTCATACCTTTGAAGGATTTTCTCCATTTCTATTAGTATTCTTCTAGGGAATGATTATATATATATGTGTATATATGTATATATATATATTAATGTTTATTTATTTTTGAGAGAGAGAGAGGCAGAGCGCAAGCAGGGGAGGTGCAGAGAGAGAGAGATAGGGAGGGAGACACAGAATCTGAAGCAGGCTCTGAGCTGTCAGCAGAGAGCCCAGTGTGAGCTTGAACTCACGGACCATGAGATCCTGACCAGAGCCGAAGTCGGATGCTTAAGCAATTGAGCCAGCCAGGTGTCCCTGAAGAATGATTTTTAATGTTTGGGTGATATTTTTCATTTCAGCATCTCATAATTTGTTTAACCAGTTCATAATAGGACTTTTCATCATAGGACAGGCATCAAGAATATTAGTTCAGTTTTGATTTATAGTTGATTCATTGTCTCATGGATAACCCAGTATTATGAATAGTATCTTAATTCTTTCAACCAAGTGGGATATTTAAATGGCAAGATCTTGGGAAAGTTTATTAAGGAAACAATCTGAAAATCTTGAAATGAAATTTCACTGAGCCACATTTTTTCTTTTCTGTTACTCCCTTCTTTCATTTTCTTGTTTGAAGAACTTGCTGAAAATTCAAATCATTTTACATGTCAAGGCTACAAATTGATGGCATAGCTGTCGCTTTTTTTTTAAGCCTCAGGAAAACTGGTACTGTATGTCAATATCAAGTAGTAGCTTTTAAATGTATTAAATAGTGACTGCATTGCTTCTTGTATAAGGTAGAAAAAAGTCAGTAAATTTTTCTTTTTAAAAATACTCTTTTTGGGTACCTCTCTTTTTAAGTTCTGAATTATATACATACTATTAATTATATAGGAGAGAACAATTTAAAATTATCCAAGAGGGAAAATTAAACTCATTGGGTACATAGTAGAGTGTGAATTAAGAACTTGCGCTCTAGATTTGAATCTGGGTCCCACTGCTTAGCTTTGTATGTGACATTGGGAAAGGTACTTGATCCCTTTCAGCTTCATTTTCATCTGTAGAATCAGGCTAAGAGGAATTCCTCGGTTATGGTTATTAGATGTGAATGTAACCTTCACAGCCAAGTTTCTTGTATATATAATTGTCCAACAAATGTTTATTGTTTTACCTGTTTTCTGTGTTCTGATACCTCACACTAACTGGTATATTATCTTATGCCTTTCATGAAACACGAAGTTCAAGAGATATAAGCTTGAATTTACTGCTCAGAAAGTGCTAATGGTGGCTGCTCCTGCTACCTTCTTAACTTTGAGGATGTATTTACAGGCAGTGGGCAGAGACCCCAGTTTCTATGTTGCCTTTGTAAATACTGGACAGGTGGCAACCTTCTTGCTTTCATTAAAGTGTT